TCCTGGTGAATATAATGAGTCTGACTTGTTCATACAACCAAAGAATGCTCCCTATGACAGTGCCCGCTTACTGTACTCCACTGTTGTTGTTGTTGTTGTTGTTGTTGTTGCTGCTGCTGCTGTTGTCCTTGGTCCTTCGTGGACAGTTGAACAGTACCTCATTATCTCCATGTTTCACTTAAAGCAACATTATGTAGTAATGTTATCTTAAAATAACCGCTTCAAAATCATTTTGATGGTACAGTGACTTGTAATAGGGTGAATGGCGTCTCTGTCATTGTCACTCTGTCCTGTTGCATTAGAATCCCGTGCAGGAAACCTTTTGTGACAACTGTGTAATGGTTTAGGACACCACATTACACACCAACAAGACTCTTCTGTAAGCTAACCATAAGAAGAAGCTAGCTTGGTATTCTCAGTATGGATATTGTGGCAAAAGCTTCGAAGAGACAGAAGATGTTGTCAGAGGAAGAGAAAAAGAGAGAATGATCGAGCAAGAGACCGGACAAGAGTAAATATCAGACTGACTTTTCCTCGATGTGAGCTAAAAGAGCTGATGGGCTGCAAGACAGATGCCAAGCTGGCATTCTTTCTGTGTTCACAGTTGGATTAGTAAGTAATATTAGTATGTCTTGTGTTGTCGCACTTGTTTGATGTTTGGCTGTACAAGAAAAATTGTGGACTTGTTAGCTGTACCCGTGTACAGCTGTCCTTATTTACAATAGCAGTGAATTAACATTACACTATGAAATGATACAGGTGCCAACTCACAAACATTTTGCTTTAAATGTGTATTTTATTACTTTTAGGAAATTGCCTAAAGGTCACTTCTCAGTTCAACAGTTGCATAAGAAAACTACTATGTAATTTCCAACATTCAGTCCTTTAAAGGTTCAGTGTGTAAGATTTAGTGGCATCTAGTGGTGAGGGTTGTGAATTGCAACCATCTTTCCAATCTACCACTGCCCCCTACCCTTTCAAAGGTGTCTCTTCTGAGACAGCAGAGAGTAGCCAGTCAAGAAATGAGGTTTCTTTAGGTAGATATATTAAGTAATTATATTTACTTAATTATTCAGTAAGCCCATATATTATTGTGACTTGGTCACTGACAGATAACATGGAAAATGTAAGTCAACAGTGTGTAACATTGTCACTGTTTCTGCACCACATTATAAACCACACATTAGATTCTACATTTATATTTATTCATTTAGCTGACGCTTTTATCCAAAGTGATTTACAATTGCTATATATGTCAGAGGTCGCACACCTCTGGAGCAACTAGGGGTTAAGTGTCTTGCTCAGGGACACATGCTACAGTGGACTTGAACCCGGGTCTCTCACACCAAAGGCATGTGTCTTATCCACTGTACCATCACCACATATAGATAAGGTTTATACAAACATTGACAAGGGAAACACATTAATTCTCTCTGTGATTATGTATCCTCGCCAAAACTGCTGGCTATCAATAATATCTGGCCCGCTGCCAGATTATGGTGCTTTGATAGTGGCAAAGAATATAAATAAACAATAAATACTTTGACAACAACAGTTACTCACATAATCACTTCCTCTTTAGTGGTTTTGCCTACAAAATAAAAGTGTGAGAAGTTTGTTTACTGTAATGCTATATTTGGAGTTGAACTGAGCTTTTACTTTGAGATTCTGAATGACATTAAAAGAGTCTGTAGCCTGCTTGATACAACTTTGAAAGAGCCGTTAGAGAACGTGATTCCCCTAAATGTCCTCTGCCTGGAGATACTGGGAAAATTGTCCGTAGGTTTATGGATGTGGATCAAACACAGAAAAAAAAACATTGCAGCACATGCCGTGATCTGAGAAACATTTACTGGAGAATCTATTTGTTGAAGAGAGAAAAAAAAAATCATTCCGAGGTGGGATCGAACACTCAACCCTTGCAAGTCCTGCACTTTACATACTGAGCTAACCAAACAACATGTCAATAAAAGTCAATATAATGGCTTTTATTCTCATCCACCATCTAATGATTCAAAACTTGTGTCTGCACTGAGGTAGAACAAGAAGAACGTAGAGACGAAAAGCACTCTGTAGCGCTGTTTGTCCGTTTTCAGCTACTGTAGAAACATGACAATGCAACATGGCGACATCCATGGAAGGGGGTGTCCGCGGTTATGTAGATATTAATGGCTTATTCCATTCATAAGGTAATAAAAACATAATGGTTTATTATGTAAGGTTTTTACACACCACTGAAAACATAGTTATGGATCTTAGATTGCATTTCTGTCAATAGATCCTCAGAAATATTACACACTTGAACCTTTAAAGGGAGAGTAAATGATTCTGAAAAAATTATTATTGAGGTTGATATTTGAACTCAACTGCCAAACAAATATACCCCTCCCTTCAGTGCTTCCTCCGCCCTTGTTGGTTTGGTTTTCTGGCCATAACTCTTATGGTTCACTCTCGCCGCTTACGTTTGTAAGCCACCTGCCAACTGGCTGGTGAACATAGTGGAGCATGGCTAAAGAGCCAGATATTTTTCTGTGGAGTTGAAGACAAAAACAGAGTGAATAGCGAACTTACATTTGGCAGGTGGCACTGACTTTGAATATGCTAATGTTGCCCCTTGTCTGCTGGAAGTATGAATAGGTAACTGTTTAACCACTTTACAACGGCAGCATTGTGTTTACAGCTTTGTGTAGTATTGTGGTTTAAATGTATTTTCTCCTGTTCATTTTTGCAAACCAAACATGTCTGATCTTTCACTTCAATAGGGTTAATACTCCTGGCAAAATGTATTTTTAGAAGTATTTTTATTTTTATTTCAGCATCCTTGGCTTAAAGTTGAAGAGGTTTTATTATGCTATGATGCATATGGAGCTAACACAGTATAACTGCTAAATGCTCATTCAGTGAGTGCTTGACTTATATAATCAGTTTCTCTTCATATATGCTGATACACAGCATTGCACAGAAATGTCATTGTGTCATGACAAGGAAAACTGCCAGAGCCAATTTTCCACAATACTGACTCCAACGCACACTCACACAACACCCAAATGGAAGCAAGAAGGGGCTGAACAAGTTAGAGGAGTTGAAGCAATAGTGCATTTCTCAGAAAATAAAGTCTGCTTATGCTGGCACAACACCACTTTGACTCCAGTCCTTCGGAGTTCAGCTGCCATCATGTATTTTATGATGTAGTTATTGGGGCCTTAACATGTAATATTTATTTCCCCCTAAAATGTATGCAAGATTGGAACTACTCTTGTCTGGTGAATGTGTCAAAAAAAGCTTTTTTAACCTATGATGCATTTCTGTTATTCTGTCCTGTTGGTGGATTTATCATTAAACTAATCTTGAATAAATTTTTGGCTACATTCACCCAAAAATTCCAGAGGTGTTTCCACACCTAAACAGCACTTGCTCCTGGCAGAACAGGCAGACACTGACAGCCATTCAGACAGGCTTGGAAATGGTGAGCAAACAGCACTTCTCCTAAACACCTTGTTAATGCTGCTACTACCCACAGAGTTCAGCCATAACGTGACAACATGAAAAGAAAGCACAAGTGACAACCACCACCCCTGCCTGTCACACTTATATCATTTTTTCCCTTGCCTCAGCCATGGAGAAAACAGCCAGCTAATGTGGTGGCTTGACAAGCAGGAGACTTGTGTTAGGCAGCGAGACAGAGAGTTATTATTTGCCTTGCAGTTAAGGACGGGGTCAACACAGGTTATCAAAACCCAGCCCAGGTTGCTCTGCACAGAAAAAGACAAAGCAGCAGAACATAGTTTGGGAGAGTGAGCTGTAATGAAGGGATTTGAAATGTGAGTGATATTGGGAATGCTGTATTGAGAGAGAAAGGTGTCAGTTACAGTAGATGAGAAGGTCAGCTCCGGTCAGTAGCTGCAGGGGTTTTGTTTATTCACCATAGCTACAAGCATTTATATAAATAGCCACTTGATAAATCCCTCTTTGAGATTCTCAGCTGTTTTCAACATTCTCATCTCAGGTTCACATGAATTAGTGAGCAATAAATTATAACCTTAGAAATTCTCGCAACAATGGAGGCTACTGTTTAATGGACATGTCTGCTGATCAGCAAGTTTGTGCAGGTGCTGTTAGCTGGCTCTGCTATATAATCAAAACAAATATATTAATGAAGAAACCCTTGACTGTTACATTCTTGGCAGACTAAGAAACATGCACAGACATTAACATTCCTTGAATAAATCAAAGGGGAGTGGACTGAGAAACGATTGTTTAGTGTAATGTTAATTAGTTACTACTGACGGCACATTTCCTGCTTTCTGTTGGTTTTGATTGTTCTGCTTACACCAAGTAAAATCCCATCAGACTGTTGCTGCTGGTGGTTTCAAATTAAGACAGCTGATAAAGGTGTTCCACAAGGATCAGTATTAGGCCGCCTACTATTTACTGTGTACATAAATAATTTTTACTTTCCAGCTGAAAATCATTGCAGTGTCTATTTTTATGCTCATGATAACTTGTATGCCATCGGCTTATCCACTATCTGATCCCACACCTATTTATCTGAGGGATTAGTGTATGTATGAATGCAATGACAGTTTTGGAGGACTGAATTGTCTTGCTGTAATGTTGTATGTATGTATGTAATTGGTGCATTAACTTGTACCTCAGTATTATTCAGTGTTAGTGTTTTAACTACAGCATATAAAGACATCATTTGTATGTGTGGCCTCTGTTACTATTATATTATACCGAATGTACATCTTTATTGTTGATGGACACCTTAATTTGCTGCCAACAAAGGCTGTGGCTAACCGCACTTTGGCGTGGAATTACAGGCTTCATCATCTCTTTGTCACTCTCTCTCTCTCTCTCCACTGTCTATCCACGGCCACCTCTAATCAGCGGGCCTTGAGCTTTCAGAAAGGTCACTCTGTCCCTTTGATGGTGTTTTGATTCATCCCTTCCTCTTTTCTCCCCTCCCACCCTTCCCTTTCACCTCCTTTCTCTCACAGGGAAGCTGGAGAGTCACTACCACCAGGGTGCCAAGAAGGGGCTCGTCCCATTAGCTGCAGAGTGACGTCAAGAGGAGAAACTGAAGAGGAAAAACAATCTGATCTCACGGGAACATGGAAAATTGTGTTTCCAAAAGAATGGCTACATACTCCACTGGTTTGTCTCTACATTGGATTAGTTGTCCATGATGACATATCATTTCCAGCTGAATATTGTATGCAGTACATGATGTATAATCATTCTGACAAATTTCTACATTTTGCTTTGTCTCCATTCGATTGTTTGCAGAAATAAAAAGACCCTCAGGTTTCATTTTGTGCTTCTCTTATTCCGATTTAGATGTGTTAATAAATAAGAATGCAATCTTCTAGAACATGTTATGATGTACTGGTTTCTCAAAGCACTAGAGATAAACTAATACAAATGTCTTGAATATGTTTTAATTTTCCCATTTTCAGAGACAACAGAGAAAAATATTTTAGCTTTACCACAAGAGAAATCATGTTCTACTCTCCTCGTCATCATGGGCAGGCCTGTCATTATCCTTCTCACACCTAAGACCATATTTAGGCCCCATTCACACTACTCCGTTTTAGTTTACAAACGGAGAATTTAAACGAATATGATCTCCGTCCACACCAGCGTTTTAGCTGCGTTTTGGAGTTGATCTCTGTCTACATTAAAACGACTGAAAACGCACAGCCAAGGCCCTTTCAGGTACACTGGGCATGCGCCTGCTAGTGTAAACAGGAAGTAGATGGTCTATTCCGTAGATACAGAAGATTTGGCGAAAGAATAAATAAATACAGACGAAGCATCAGACCATTTTTTTAATTTTTCTTTTTTTTTGCATGCACCAATAACGAGCTGGGACTGTTATGAATGTAACATAGGAGTGTGGCGCGGGAAAACAGACCGGGAGTCGTTGCAAAGTAGCCTAAACGGTGACATGCACAGTACAAGGGTAGGCAAATAAGTGTTATTTGCACCGTACATAATATTTTAATAAAAATACATGTCAATACATGTCAAAAACCCGGTCAGAAGCATCGTGTTTCTGCTTTGCAAGAGCCGAGCGTGAGCGGCTGCGTCATCGTTTCTAAGCGTTTCACAATTAAAACGAAGACCTTTTGCTACGTTTGCACCTCCTGTCCAGACTACAACGATGAAAACGAAGACCTAAAACGGAGAAGTTTGGAAACGCTGCCGACCCCGTTTTGCGTTTCAAAACTCTGGAGGGCGTTTTAGTGAAGACGGGACAAAACGGAGGACTTTAGAAACGATGACGCAGCCGCTCATGCTCGGCTCTCTGATTGGGTCTTGCAAAGCAGAAACACGATGCTGCTGACATCATATTTTTATTAAAATATTCTGTACCGTGCAAATAACACTCATCTGCCTACACTTGTACTGTGCATGTCGCCGTATTTACTTTGCAACGACTAACCAGTCTGTTTTCTGACGCCACACTCCCGTGTTACATTCAGTAACAGTCCCAGCTTGTTATTGATCCATGCAACAACAACAAAAAAACTGGTCTGATGCTTCTGTAACTACCGAATGGACCATCTGCTTCATGTTTACAGTGGCACGCGCATGCCCGGTGCAACTGAACGGGTCCTAGCTGTGCGTTTTCAGTCTTTTTAATGTAGACGGAGATCAACTTCAAAACGCAGTGGAAACGCTGGTGTGGACGGAGATCGTATTCGTTTTAATTCTCCATTTGTAAACTAAAACGGAGTTGTGTGGATGGGGCCTTAGAGTAACAATAGCTCTGTGTCAAAAAACAGAGCCTTCTCATTAATTTCAATGAATGCTGTTGCATTGGCACAGCAGGGGGGAGGACGCAATGGGCTCCAGCAAAAAATGCAGGGTTGTCCAGCAAAAAAGTTGATCCTGGCTCATCAGCATAATCCCAGCAATGCACTGTTTAGACTAATGAAATACATGCATGTGCACATTCCACACTTTTTTGTGTCTTAACTTTAGCATTGTGCTAATTCGGTTGTTTACTTCACAAGCATTAAACAGAAGGAGAAAATTATTTCTGCCATGATAACCTTTCAGAGTTGGAAAATCTGATCTGATCTGAAAGTCCTTAGACTCATGGACTTTTTATTTGACCTGCATTTCTTGGAAGGCATTTCATCTACTCTCTACCTGTGGCGTTATGACCACACTGAGGAAAATCCAGGGGAGTCCAGCACAGGAATGGCGGTATACCCGCCATTGGCAATACAAACTACTGGAGAGGTACATGAGTGTAAATACATTTAATGGCTATTGCAGAATACCAGCCATGAATACTATCAGTATTATTTTATGAAATTGGGATTGATAAAATCTCAAGGATTATTGTGGATCTAGTGTGCCATGTTGTGGGCAGTGCAAAGTTATTTCTCCACAGATATTATTAGCGGCAGCTTTTTTTCCCCCTCAGCTATTAATTCCACTCTTGTTAATCACAAAGATGATGAAGAAGATTTAACATGATTGTACATCACAATTGTTGTATTAACTTAATTTACCATATTAAGATGAGAAATCCTACAGGATTACTCCAGATTTTTCGCGCTGTTGACTGTGTTATATTTCCACTATATTGCTCACTTTTTAGTGCTTTTGAAAGTCTTTTTAAAAGTCTTGTATAAATTGCCGTGACCAGTTATTTACTTTACAGTTTTATTTACAATAGTTTGGAATGGCATGGATTAAGCCTTCTTTTTAAAAGGGTTATCAGAGTCATGGAGGACTAGTACATAATGTCAGCGTATTCACTTCCTTTAAAAACAAAGCCCAACATGCACAGTCTGCTGCCTCTGAAATTATTCATTTTGACTTATTAAAGGTCTTCTGTACTTAGATTCAAATACACACAATGTTTTTGACACCTTCATTATTAAGTCTTCCCCTTGGTTCAAGTGCTGTTGTGACTGATTGATATGCAGCCAGTGCAATGTAATTTTGTGTTTCAACATTTTACCTGTTCTTGCATCGCTGTGTGTTTATTTCCTTCCAAATGTGTCTTTGACTAAGCTGTTTCTTGCCTGAGGGCGTATTTCACCATGTTTTGAAAAGCATAGCATGAATCACCAGCACACACACCCATCCCGAGTTGTTATGTTTTTGCCTGTGCCTGGCATTGTAATTCACTGTTGATTAGCTTAGATTTACTCTTGTTTGAGTTGCAGATTAGCTACAACTCTCTGCTCCACTCCATTCAGCATGAGAACACATAATTGCACCAGCCCTCCCAGTAATCTCCCACCCAGAGAATGTAAGAGGTCTCTTTTGTAAAGTTTCTCCATACAAGGTGGGGAGAGGCTGCTTAAGAATTTACTAAATTCAGCCCCCAGTGAATCAACAGTGACAGCTACTTGCCCTGTGGGTGGCCTTTTCTTCTGTTTTCCAGATCAGGGGCATTTCTCCGGATGAGAACAGACATCCAAGTTCACATAAACAAGGGCTCTGTGCTGTAATTCTGAACAGTTAAGTACATGCAGTTTTTACTAAGCCTCTTTAGATAAAACCATAAGATCATGTGCTGTTGGTTTTTCACGCACAAAAGATGTGATGTACTTGTGTAGCAGAAATGCTCTAGGTGATCCATTTAAATATTAAACCAGCCATGCTGTCTGAGCTGCATTGAGCTGCAGCAGATGAAACGTCAACAGCAAATCATCTTGTTTTTAAAGGAATATTTTTTGTTTTGTTTACTTTCTGGCAGAGAGTTAGACAAAAAGATTTCTACCACTGTGTTAAATATGGAGCTTGAAGCAAGATTATGGCTTTATACATACATATATAGCCATATGGAACCCTGTGGGTTGTATTAATAAAAACCTTTGTTTACACTCTGGCTCAGCAACGTGTCAGCTCAATAACTTCAACGCACTAAGTATTTGTTTTGTTTTCTTATCATCGTCCCAATCTTTTGGACTGATCTGACAATTGTTTGACATTAGGCCTATTATGCCTGATACGCTGTTTAGAGAACTACGGAGGATTGGACTTTGAGAACTTTGAAAGCTAGGCGTATTGGGTATTCTTTATGGCTTTGAAAGTTGTGCTTGGACTTGAATACAATATCACACAATGGTTCCCAACTGACCAAAGGACAAGTAGATAATGCATTTTCTGCCTTAACTTAAATGGTCCAGAAGGCTAAGTGTTTAGCACCACATCGCTACATCCCAAGTAGATCTACAGTACTACAGGACAAGCAAACTTCATGACATGCTCTCTTGCGGCTTGGCTAGGTTTAGACAGCAAAACTAGTTGGTTAGGTTTATGTACAAAGACAACTTGGTTAGGTTTAGAAAAACATAGTGGATTGGTATGTTAATAAGTATGTTAATCCAGGGAGTTATCTCAGGGGAAGTGTAGTAATGTGGGTGTGTTAAAATGTTTGAGATCTTTCACACACTATGACTCTGTTATCAGTGTGACCCCTCCACCTCCTCAGTAGCCCCCAGAGGCTAAACAGAAACAGACAGTACACTTGACCTTTTTTTGTTAATTTCTCACAATTTGTTATTGTACAATTTATTTTTTGTTATTTGTATCAGTTGTGTTAATAAACGTTTATTTTCAATTAATTAATTTCTTCATTCAGTTTGCCCAAGGACTCTTCTGCTAGATCGCAAACCAACCACCCTGCTGTTAATGATGCCGTTGGATAGGGGAGACAGGCAAATCAGAGTAGATGAAGCAATGTGACAAGCAGAGCGTCATCCAATTTTGAGCATCAGTAAGAATTACAGCTAAAATTCCTGTTAACTATGGTTTTAGATTAAATTAGACATAAAAGGTTACATATTTATTCATCATATGGACTGAAAAAGATGCCCTGCTGAATTTCCTGATTGAAATTAAATGCAATTGACTCCAGTCCAACAGTATGCCCTTCTCACCATTAAGCCAAGTTTCCAGTTGTAGAAGCAGCAGGACCTTTGTGTGCTTGCTGAGAGACTGATTGGACTGAGGGCGCAGGGTCCCATCCCCCCATCCCCACAGGCCTGGAAGAGGAATTAGGCTTTGGAGCACTTTAGAAGAGGTGGCAGCAGGCTGGGGAACAATACAACCTGGGAACGGCTTGTGGCTCATCCATCTCATAATGTGTCAACATTGCCTGTTGAGCCAGGGTGGATGTACAAAGGGAATATTTAGAAAAGGATATTGTCAGTAGTGGCTCATTGAAGAAAATTTGACAGCAGAATTCGACGTATTGAAATCATCACAATAGTATCTGACCGTTTTCACTACGCCAACAGGAAGCACTTTTTGGAACTGTAGCTCAATTACAGGAATAG